TATGGCAAAATGAAAGACTTTCATAGATAGTTTAATAGACATAAGACCCACCATAACTTTTTGTGCATGTGCGGTTGTGAAAAAAATTATAGAATGTTTTGCTGTATGTGTCTCCTCAGAAATAACTAATGTAATGAGATGAGTTAAAACCAAAGGTATGTGGAAAAATACTTTTTTATTTTTGTTGAATGTATGTTTGTATTTATAACAGCCTGTTTTATAGATTGCCACATTATTCCAATTTTTTTAAATCTTTATTGCAATATTTTATGAAAAGATAATAATCAGGTACGCTTTCTTGTGGTATCAATTAAATCACTGCCTAATATTCTTCATTTATTAAAAAATCGAAAACGTTACAATTTTCAAATTTAGTTGTTTCAGTTTTTTTTAAATAGAACACCTTGTTTTCCATAACTTCATCTTGCTCTATTTTTTCTTGTCTTAAAAGAGTCCAAAATCCCTTCGGACCGTTTTGCTACATTGTAGCTTAATTAATAAGTCCTCTCCTCTGTTTCAAGGATATAAAATCAATCAAATTTAACACAAATACATGGGCTCGCTGATGCTTGTAATATGAACGTGATTTGATTATAGTTGAATTTCTTCGAAGTATATACATAAACCCTTGAAGTTGAGCATGTAATTACTAAGAATATATTATTCTCGTTGGTTATCTGGCATAATATACTTTATATTGTCCACATTTTCGGAATTTGCGCCCTCACGGCAAATCAAATTTTATAATTTTTTAAAAAAGCGGCTTTAATTAACTGTACTTCATGGGATCATGGGCGATGGAAGTTCTGTCGAAATAAAGTTCAACCATTTTTTAAAAATAAACCTCTTTTTGTATCTAAACTTACTAAGTTACGTGTTGTGCCTTAAAAACAGAACATTCTATACTGTTGAAACTAAATTTAGTGTATGGTCCTCAAGGAATCGCATAAAGATTTATTTAAGTCTCGTTTCTAGTTTCGTCAAGTCATTCATTATCTAAAATTTTGGTTAGAATGAGTGACATAATACGATAAAAGCATCTATCAGATAAAGAGAAAAAATGTAACGAGTGTCTGTAAATATTAATCAAAGGAAAATAATACGGACCAGTATCTTTGTTATATTTAATTTTTGTTGAAATGTTATTTTCGTTTGTAAACCTAACCATTGTAACATCAAAAAACCGTAGCAAACTCATTAGCAGTGCATTTTATACGAGATAATTCGCGGCCGTGTTGTCAATTGGTAAAAACGAATCGATTTCCTAATTCCTACAAAAATCCGTAGATGAATCATATCGAATTGGTCATGGAGTCTGCATTCGGCATCTATTGCAGTTAAAATTCTGTTTTATTCATTAAAATTTCACTGTAAATCACATTTTTCTTGAATGTTTGTATTTTTAAAAAATACGTTTTATCAGGTCATATTTAAGACGTAATCTGTATATTTCCTTTTTTTTTTTTCGGAAATATACATAAATATCCTGACTCTGCCAATATAAGTGTCATTGTATTATTAATGAGTGTGTTTAAATTTTCAGCAAATCAATTTTTAATTACTGACATTTCGAAATTAATTTCCGACAAAGTTGTAGTCAGTATTATCAAGTTATTTTTGAGAAATTGAAATAATTCCAAACAAATATTTTCCCCATTCAATAAAAAATCAATAATAATAATTAGTCCTTTCCTTAGTTTTAGAGTGACAAAATATCTCAAAGTTCATTTTCTTTTAACACGAATGCATATTTTTATGTGCCGCCGATTATTCTGGGCAACCATATCTGTACGTGCTTAATAGTCGAATTCTTTTGATGTTTAAACACAAAAAGTCGAGTTAAGCACCTATTGATAACATATTTTTCCCGACTTCGCGAGTTATTTACGACATTTGCATGGATCAAATAACTGCTGCTGAGACTTTTTGAAAATCATCATAATTAATGCTACAATATCAAAAGGAACACCCACATAGCAACAAGAAGTTAGAACCATTTTCACACATGCCGAGCACAGTTCTCGAACTTTTACTTCCATCCACATCGATCTCGGTGAAATAACAACTAAACCTACCAGAAGTCATGTTCTCAACGTTCATAATTTCACAACTTCAACTACACAGATGGATATGACATCCCATTCTTGTCGTATGTTTCTTCAAATGTTCATTACAAATGGTAGTAGAGAATGTTTGGAAGTCCGTCATCCAGAATTTTCTTGCATCAATTCTGGAGCTACGAATACTGTTCATAAATGATGTTTCTTGAAGTCTTGTAATGTTGAAATTAACAATAAAAAATTTGAAACTTTATAGTCACGTGTCGTAAGTAGATGGGATCACGAAATTTTGTCCCATAAGTGGATTCCAAATAATAAATTACATATTTGCGTTTTACTAAAAGGAAGTGTAGGCTGAAAAATTGTATTGAGCGGATAACACTTAACAGCGCTTAAAGGGGATATGGTTTTACTTCATGGTGGTACTTGTGGGGTCTAACTGTTTCTGTGCGTTAATTAATTATTGCTTTGAGTTATGTCGCTGTTTCACATTATTTCGTCTTGGAAATATGAATGACTCGTCGAGAACATGGGGGTGCTGCAGTGGATTTATTAGTATTTTTAATCGGGATAGTCATGAAGCGCTTACAGATGAAGTTGGCCATTGTGTATGTTGCGAAGCTACAATATTTATCGCGTGGTCAATGGATTGAAACAACTTAATTTTATTTAGATATTCGTAAACAGAAAAGTAACGGCCTTTTTAAGGAAAACGACCGAGTTGTTCTTTATTCACAAGGAAAATCGATAAACCGTTCGTCGTTTAACGAATAGTAGAGAAACTTGGTTGAACACCACAGGAACGTTTCATTAACTTTGGGAAAGTAATTAGCGTAAGTGGTAATGGATAAATTGTTATTAATATTAATAAATGTTGTGATTAAAAAAAAAACAACAAACCATTTTTACCAGTGACAATGTTGGCAAAACGTAGACGTGATTGTTATTATCAAAGATCGTGTAAAAAGAAAGCAGTCCACATATTAGTGGTTTTCCAGTAACGTAACGACAAATTTATAGCTTGCGAATCCTAACGATGTAACTATTATGTCACCATTTAATTAAAAAAATTAAGAAAAAAATTAAATTTTACTCTCATTCAAATTTTAAATCTTGTATAAATAATTAGCTAGAGATAACCGAATTCTAATTACTTTCACTTTCGTGTGAAAGATACGAAAGTTTTTCGATTCATTAAAATATCCAGTTTAAATTCGTGCGATTTATTTGCAAAAATGTCTCGTTTGGGCACAAATGGTAAATACTGTAAATTATAAAACATGTTGGATAAGAGAATTCAGAAGTTAATGTTAATGCAAATACCTAAATTAAATTTGTTAACTTGGTTTACATTTAAGGAATAAATTTGAAATTGTTTAACTGGTGTAGTGAAAGTTGTAACTACGCTGCTTTTTTAAACATCTAATTTTTCATAGCAATAAATGAAGATGTAGAAAGACCAGGAGTGGTTGTGGAAGCGTCTACTCTTTTCCCGATCCATCAGATTCACGTATAAAAGTCGTGTGTATCAAAATCAATTCACCATTCATGTCAGAACTAGCAATCTTTTAAAGTGATTATGAAATAAGTTTGTTTGGAAAAAGTGTTTTGGTCAGCAGTTTGTTCCGCATTGTCAAGGGCAGGGACTTTTTGTGTATGTTGTGGAACAATAGATGCTGTGATTTTGCTATAAGCAACATTAAAAAAAAATGCAATCGTTTGGAGAGTTGTCTTGAACCAACAAATGTTAAAAAAAATCAATTTAAATATCATACCAATGCATACAAAATTGATTTAAATTGCAAATGGAACCTTTATAAAGAGAAATTGATTACGAAAAGAGGAGTAATAAAAGATGATCAGTAACTTTTACCTGCAGTTATAAGTCGTTAATGTTAATGTAACCATAGATTATTTCATGCAAAATTGAACATCCTTTTCAAAACGCACCTGCGGTTACGTACAAGCTCAGAAGTTGGTAAAGAAGCTCATCCATCACTATCCGGTTCACTTAGAATCATTGTTGCGATGAATACCACATAGAACCGGGTCATAAATCGAGAAAATACGGGGGTGGTAAATGATTTCAAGCTCTGTTGATTCGACTAGCACACATTTGACACAACAATGAACACATGATATAGTTTAATATGATGCAATGGGTATATGTTAAAAATTCAATGATTTTATGTCACATATGTTACAAAGTATTAAACATATTCGCGGTATTTACCGATTGAGTTTAGATTCAGGTCACTTGTAATGGATTTGTAGAATTACATCGTGAAGCATACACCGTTGTAAAGAGTGCAGCGGTGCTTTTCATTTTTTTCCTAGCACGATGATGAAATTAAGGCCTTCAGTGTTAAAAAGTGCATAGCGAGTTAAAAACTGTTTAATAAAATTACAACGTCCCTTCTGTAATTCTCTTTTTGGCTTATAGGTAAAGTAGGAAGCAAAAGGCTCTAATTTATTCATGAAACAACGCAGCCCTAAAAGCTTTCCTGGATATTTTCAGTCCAGGGTCGTGGTAATTTAATATTTAGTTTTGACATGTATTCTACAACACGGAAACGTGACACTTGCCTCGCTGACCTTTACATGATCACTATGCACTCGTATTACATCGAAACAATTAGACAGTAGCCACTTTCATGCAACACAATCTTTTCTTTCTGTACAGTTTTACGGAAACGATCCGTTTTGCCACGGTTTCCGCCATTATCCTAATCGTTCGCCGCGAATAAGTCAACCAATTATCGCCATTTTACATGGCAGACCGACCACATCTGGGTTACGCTGATAACATTGTACGATCGTGAAAACAATAATTGTTGCATTGTTTTAAGGTCGAACGGGAGATTTTAATGGGACGTAGGTGTTGCGATTATCGTTATCGCGCATTTTTCGAATTTTTTAATTTTGTTCTTTTGCTTGCAGAGGCGCTGCTGCAAAGTAGACCTCTTCCGCATATACCCAGCCTACCTGAAACGGAACCTCCGGGATCTCTCAGTACCAACACGCTGGGATCCGGTGGGATGGGCACTTTGTCGGGCTCGTCCGGTTCTGGCGCACCGTCAACACCGATGTCGCTCGAAACCGCGAACAGATGGACGTCCAAGGAAAACCTTTTGGCACAGGAGGAGGACGATCCGCAGCTGTTCGTGGCTTTGTACGATTTCCAAGCGGGAGGGGAGAATCAGCTTAGTTTGAAAAAAGGTAATTATTGGAGACAGGTGATCTGGACAAGTTGAATTGAAACAACAGAATTTCTTGACGTTTATGAAAGGTGCGAAATATAATAAACAACCAAAATTTAAATTAAAAGAAACTAAAACTGTTTTGACTTTCATTAAATTAAGTTTTCATTTTTTAGTCAACGAATATTAATGATTTCTAATTACTAAATGAATGCACTCGAATAGAAGTGAAACTTTGGGAATGGCACATACTGCAGAATTATTCTTCTAAGGAGTTTTTAATGACGCAACAGCCGTGTGTGTGACAATAGTTAAATATATGCACTCCAAGTGTGGTCGTTACGCTACATTATAAAGTCGGCTTTTCTTTTTATACTAAGTCAAGGGTACATATAACAATCACATTTGCGAATCACTAAGTCAGCTCCTGCTACAAATTTGGTAATTTAAAACCTAATCATATTCCACAAAATTTTGCTCAATTCTGACAATTTATTTGTTTATTTGAGATATTCTTAACTTTGTTTAAGTGAGATTTATTTTCGATTTAATAAATATCCCTGTATAGGTCTATGGATATTTACTATTTTCCATACTTCGATTGTTTTGTTTGATGTACAATGTAATTTGTAAACAGTGCAAACAATATATTGAGTTGTAATTTACCCAACTTGCGTAAAATTAACCTGGAATCTATATTTTGAAGCCATAAAGGATGAAAAGATACTTAAGGGTATTAATTGATCGAGTTTCGTTGCCTGCAGACGCTACAAAATCGTGTCTTCGATAGGTTTTTGTACCGCATCGGGTACATCTAGCAAAATTTAGCTACTTTTCACTTGACAACCCGTTTGTAATTTGCCTGATTCTGATCATTTTACAACCTTTTTACTTCCCGAGCAAGTATTGTACTATTACAATGGTCCATCGGCCTTCTGGCTGCTTTCTCAAGACCTCTAGAGTACGAAAAAGTAAGTCTCCCGTTTCCGTCTATTTTGTCGTCTGTGTGTTGTTTTTTTTAAACACCATTTAGATATTGTAAAATAACATGATCCTATACTTGAGGTTTATGAATCTACCTTGATTTTGCATCACATTTTAAACCAGTATGAGATCACTGACGTATGGTAAAATGGGTGGTTGTATCGTAAAATGCGAAGGTCGCTGCTTTGATTGACTCATGGGTCATATTTTTTTTTACTTCCCAATCGTAAGGGACGAATTGCTAGTTTCATGTTTTCAAATTTTATGAAATAATATACTCTTGTACTTGTGGTTTGTGATTCTATCTTGGTTTTGATTATTTTTATTTAATTTTTATTATCTAATCTGTCTTGTTCTTTAAACACATAATACGGTTTTCTATTGCATACTATTGCAATAGTCAAGGAATAAAGCGTGCAGAGATCATACATATTACTGTAAATTATAAAGGTTATTTTAATTTTGTAATTTTTGGAAAAGGTTGAAATTGTTGAACTGTACTTCAGGGGGTAGAAATAACCTTAGACCATTTTGTTATTATTATTAAGAACTCACTTTTTTATAATTACAAAATTCTAAGAAAAATGTTTTAGATTAAAAAAATTAGTCAAATTATGAATCGAGCAGTAACAAACGTAAATAATTATTGCGGTCGTCGGTGGTCTGAGCTTCCCGTTCTGAGTTTATGGTTTCTTGGAAAAATGCACATGTGTCGATGCAAAATCTAGTCCTTGATAGCAGAGAAGCCGTTAACAACTCATTGTTTTCTTTGATATTGATGTGTGCGATTGTCGTGAGTGACAGCTTATTTAGAATTGCTTATGCAGAATGACTAAAAAAAATTTATCAAAAGAGGCAATTTATTTTATTGATTTAATAAAAAATGACCCACCCAATTTTTCAGAAAATGCACTGTTATTGGTAGTATTACACTCCACGTATCCAAATTGAAGTACCTACGCGTCCTTGCTGGAATGTTGATGACGTCATCACAGAATTTTGTATGTAATAGAAAAATTCACTTGACATGCGAATGGCTTACTACCCTTACTACACACATATAATAAACTCACTTGACATACACCTTGTAAAACTTTTATGACTTAAGCGGCTTAAGCCAAACCACCCTTACAAGTCAAACTGGCTGTTGTATAACTTAACTCAGTTCACATATACCTAGTAAAACATTACAGCTCCATTATGGTAACGAATGGACAGTAATAATCCTTGCGGTTCGGGTCCATAAAGCTTACAACAGCCAGTTTGACTTATAAAGGTGGTTTGGCTTAAGCCGCTTAAGTCATAAAATTTTACAAAGTGTATGTCAAGTGAGTTTAGTATATCTTTATCTTAACTTATAGGGGTCATCATAAAAAAATTCCCAAAATCAAATTTTATAAATTTTCGAAGAAGTTGTTCTGTATTATAAAAAAAATTGGCCGAAAGTTATTTCGACAGAACTTCTCGCTTCTGAAGTACAGCCCAACAAATTTTGCTTTTCTGAAAAATTATAAAATTAGACTTTGCGGAATTTTACTTTTTCGTGATACTTTCTATGAAGCAAAAACAATATAGAAGGAAGTAGTCACAGTGTAATAGAAAAAAATTAAGTTTCACCTTCTTAAAAAAAGACAGTTGGGAGTCCCGAGAAGCTTTCATATTCTTAAAAAAAGACAGTTGGGACCCCTCGGGAAGGGTTTTAGGTTTCACATTCTTAAAAAAGAGATTTGGGCCCCCCGAGAAGGTTTCACGTTAAAAAAAAAACAGTTGGGACCCCAGAAAAGGTTTTACATTCTTAAAAAAGACATTTGGAGACCCCGAGAAGGTTTCACATTCTTAAAAAAAGACAGTTGAGTTGGGACCCCTCGGGAAGGGTTTCACTTTCTTAAAAAAGAGATTTGGGGCCCCCGAGAAGGTGTCTCATTAAAAAAAAACAGTTGGGACCCCCCCAGGAAGGTTTCACATTAAAAAAAAAACAGTTGGGACCCCCCGAGAAGGTTTTACATTCTTAAAAAAGACAGTTGAGACCCCCGAGAAAGTTTCACATTCCTAAAAAAGACATTTGGAGACACCGAGAAGGTTTCACGTTAAAAAAAGACAGTTGGGACCCCCGAGAATGGTTTCACATTCTTAAAAAAGAGATTTGGGGCCCCCGAGAAGGTTTCACATTAAAAAAAAAACAGTTGGGACCCCCCGAGAAGGTTTCACATTCCTAAAAAAGACATTTGGAGACCCCGAGAAGGTTTCACATTAAAAAAAGACAGTTGGGACCCCCGAGAATGGTTTCACATCCTTAAAAAAGACATTTGGGGCCCCCGAAAAGGTTTCACATTAAAAAAAAAACATTGGGGGCCCCGAGAAGGGTATACATTTTAAAAAAAGACATTTGGAACCCCCGAGAAGATTTAATATTCTTAAAAAGCCATTTTAGGCCCCCGAGAAGTTTTTACATTTTTAAAAAAAGACATTTGGTGCCCCCGAGAAGGCTTTTCATTGTTAAAAAAGACAATTGGGATCCCCAAGAAGGTTTCACATTCTTAAAAAAGGCATTTGGCGTCCCCGAGAAGATTTAGATTTTTAAATAAAGTGGGGCCTATTCTCACCTTTTCGAGAAAGTGGGGTAATTTCATCAATAAAAAATTTGTTATGACGTCATAAACAAAGATAATACACAATGCAAGAGAAAAAAAAAGAACAAAAAACGAAGGGGCAATTTGAATTCGAACACGCGACGTCCAGTCCGCATTCCTGACTCCTAATCACTAGACAACGACCGAGATGCCTTGCGCTAATGGTAAGATGGTAAATTTTGCAAAAATTTAAACGGTTAAGGAAAAACTCGGATTCATACACCACACTTTTAGGACTATGTTGCTGTGTGACAGTTAAATCAAATAAACGTGGAATTCTTTGAAATGACGTAATCAAATTGTTGGTGGAGCTGATTAGCTAAATTTTGGTTAGCATTTAACCATCTACGTGATATTTCTAATATATATACAAAATTTGACAATCGGTCCTGCACTTTCGGAGATTACGTGTCTAATAAAAATGGACACAGACACCAGACAGACGGAAACGGGAAACTACTTTTTTCGTACTCTAGGGGTCATGAAACGTCGAGAAAATATAATAGTGGCCATTCGTCCGATGAACTTGATTACAATACTTTCGTCGCTTACGCTCGGGAAGTAAAAAACTGGACAAGATAAGCAATGCAAGTTCTCATAGATGAATGAAAAGCAGGGGTAATAAACATAAACAATTGAAGTTAATTTTGTACTGATAATACATTTTTCCCCTTGGTTATTTTCATTCTGCTTTAAGTATATTTGACATTGTCGGTGCCTTTGCGGACTCCGCCCTCTGTGGTGCAGGGGCTGCGGGGGTGTGATTTACCCACTGTATGGTTTTTTACCGGTATTTTAACAGTCCACACATATTTTCATTTAATCTTATCTTATCTTACATGTGCGGACTTTTAAATCAGTCCCATCACCTTCAGCGTTGACAAGTCTTTCAACATAAAAAAAAATGTAAAGGAGGCAAAAGAAATGCTAAACGTTAAAAAAACAATCAAGTATCTGAAAATTTTTACCTACCATTTGAAATAGTACTTTGGAAAATTTTTCAAGACAACCTGGTTTTCATTCGTCATTATTAATAGTTCTGTAGATAATTTTAAACAGCTACAAAAAATTAACAACAGTGAAAGTAATGTGCGGTAATTAAAGATGATATCAAGTAGGAGTCGATGTTTGTCTGCTTTGTTCGACGTACCACTAAATTTGTAGCTTAGATTTCAGTCAAATTGAAAATAATATCTCGAAACACAGGGCAGTCAGATTTTATTCCTGGCGCACTCCATTATACGAAAGCCAACCAAGCAACGAAAAAACTAAAAACATACTTTTTGCCTTTCTTCTTTCGGCGATTACGATTCCAATTCGGTTACTGTGGCTATTAATGGCAGTTCAGTCTTTAATATTATGATCTTTGTTACAATATTACTTAGGAGTGGATATTTTGGTCTTC